TAATACTGGATTTTTTGAGGTTGCTTTGTAGATTTGTTTTTTATCGAACTAGTTAACTGGAATGGATTCTGTTTTGTTCTATTTAGTTATAAGTTAGTGACTTATGAGTTAAAATAAGAAAAGTTCAAAAAATTATTATTATTTTGGTTTACAGAAGGGGGATTGAGATGTTACCTTTGTCTTTCTTTATAAGCAGACTTAAGGACCTTGATACTTACATTCGGTGATTATAAGCTTTATGAACTTATAAATGTCTGTTTGGTCCAATTTTTATTTTTAATCCGAAAAATATAAACGAAGTCAAACTTTAAAAAATTAAATTTTTTGAAGTGAAAAGCAGAAATCTATTCTTAGCTTTTTGAGAAGAGTGAAACAGAGAATTGGAAGTAGATGTTTATTAGACACAGACTTGTGATGTATTAAGTTTATTTTTTGTACAAGATATTTCCATTGTTTTCTTTGGAATAAATTTAGTTCCTGGAAAGTGCATTTTCTGTTTTAATATTCAGCCTCTTGTTTTTGTTACCAAAAAATAAAAATTATACTACTCTCTGAAGTTCATTTCTGTAATTTTGAGGAAACCACCTTTAAGATCCATCCCGCCTGCAACGTACGTAGATAGAATTTGCTGCTTCCAGCACCTGTTTGCTGCAGTGGTTCCTACTCTACAATTTGAAGATCATAGTTTTATGAAAGTATGTTATAAATGTATGTACACACACACACATGCATACACATATATCGATTCATATAATTTGCTGCTAATGGAACATGAAAACAAATTATCACGGACAGCATCATAACATATTCCAACTGGAACTTTCAGGCAAATGGAGCTTTGTTTACGGGACCATGAATTCAATCCCTTGATATGAATGTTGAATCTCAATATATACACAGTTGGTCCTCATTTACCAAATATCTTGGCTTCTCCAAAACTTTCAAATGGTTTGGCAGATGTCGGATGGTGGGTACCGAATTCAGTGTACGCATCCTTCTTTTTCCAAAGTATTCCTTTGCTTGAGGCCTCTTAATCTAGGAATAATAAAGTTCGTAACATAAATATTTCAATTTAGTGTTTAAAAGGCTCTTTAGTTTACCTTTTTTTAAAAAAAACACAATATACACTTTTATTTTATCTATATTAAGAATTATTTGACATGCATTTTTATTGAATATTATAATTTGTATTTTCTAGAACGGAAAATAAATAAAGAGTATAGTTTATTTTTATACTTTTCGACCTAATTTACCCTATTTTTTAAAAAAAATTGGATAATGAATGTTGTCCATTTCTAACTTGCCTATGAGAACTTAGAATGCTGCATTTCTTGAACCTTTAGTTAACATATTTATTAGTTGAAAATTGATAACGTGTATGAGATACATCAAATCGCTGTCAAGTTTTTATTTGATAAAATGTCTATCGATTTCGATATTTTTAATCCTATTATATTGCACCAGATTGTGAA